GTTTTGTTTTATTTTTTAAACTGTTTATATAGAAATAATCTCAAACTTAAGAAACAACTGACAGAAAAGAAACAGTACAAAGAACAACTGCAAACCCATTATCTTGCATCACCTGTTTTTAAAAACATTTTGTCCCATTTGTCTATCTTTTATTCAATTTCCATGTTTTATTTTCCACATTTTATTATAAAATGAAGTGCTTTGAGAGTAAGGCCCATGATTCAACAAGCATTCCCTTAAAAATAAGGATATTTTCTTACATAGCCATAGTATAATTGTGAACTTCAATAAATTTAACATTGATACCAATATGTTTATCTTCTTTGTCTACCATCTATCGAAGTCCAGTTTTGTCAACTGACCCAATCATCTCCTTATAGGAAGTTGTACCATCAGTATAGAATGCAATCAAGGATCAGGAATTGCATTTAGTTGTCAAGTCTTTAGCTGGAGTGTTTTTAAAAGCTCTCCAGGTGATTTTAATGCACACCTTAGACTTTAGGTTATTGGTTAAATAAATATTTACTAAACTACCACATATTGAGTGCCTAGCAGCTGTAAAAGATTATGAATAAAATTAAATTATTATTTTAAGGTATATACTATATATAAATCAACAATTATATCAGAGGGATAAGTATCATGAAAGATATATTAGCAGATGTGTAAGAGGAAACTTTAATTACATTTAACAAGCTTACCAGGAAACTGCTGAGGAAACAGATGAATATGAAAAAGTAATTAATCTACAACTAACAGTTAATTAACACGTGATTAATCACAAAAGTAAGGCTTGTCCAAGGTTTCTTAGAGGAGTTGGGATTTAAAAGATAAGCAGGAGTCAATTTTGAGAGATGAAGATATTTCAGGAGAGGAAACCTCAAGAGGAAGAAATACAGAGATGAGAGTGCAGTGAGGTAAGGAAGACGTTTCACTGCGATTTGGGAAGTTTGAGTGATTTGAGTGCAGGGGAAGTATTAGGAGGTTTTGCTGAAGTAGGCTGGGGAATGTAAAAGGGCATAGGCACTGTGCAAAACAACTTAGCAGCTTTTTAAAAAGTTAAACATAAATATACTGTACAACCTAATGATTCCACTCCTGGGTATCTACTCAAGAGCCCACAAAAACAAGAAGGCAATGTTCACAGCAGCATTATTCAAAATAGCCAAAAGGTGCAAACTCAAATGTCCATTAACTGGTGAATGGATACACCAAACATGTATACCTACACAAGATGAATGAGTGAGCAATCAGAAGCAATGAATTAATGTGCTAACAACATAAATGAACTTCAAAAACATCATACTAAAATTTAGTAACTAAGTAAAAGCAAAATCAGATAGAAAGGATCACAAATTGTCTGATTTTATTTATAGACAGGAAATAGAGTAATGGTTGCCTGAGGCTAGGGGTGGGAGCAGGGACTGACTACAAGATGGGCACAAAGGAGAATTTCTTTGGGGTGATGTAACTGTCCTAAAACTGGATTATGGTATTGGCTCAATGACTCTGTACATTTAGTAAAAACTGTTAAACTGCACCTTTAAAACAGGTGAATTTTATGATAGGTAAATTAATTATACCTCAATATAGGTATAAAAATTAACCAAAAATTTGTTAATCAAAACCACATAGAAAGAAAATAGGACTAGCAATTTCAGAAATGGGAAATGTAATTATGAAATACTAAAAACTTAATAGATAGACTCTGGTTTCTCTATAGATTGAATACATCTTTTGTATTTTACTAAAAATTTAATAGATGGGGAAAAACTCTGGACTCAAATTATTTACAGAGTTGGCAAATCAGAATATAGGATTAAGGAATTCATTCAGATGCAGCACACAGACAAAAATAAATGTTTTGAAATAATATTATGGGATATAGATGGAGAGGCTTCTCCACCCACCTAAACGGCAGGCCCAGAAAAGAGAATGGAAGTAATGGCCTGGAAGCAATATTTCAAGAGAAAAATTACTAATAATTTTCCAAAATAAAGAAGGCACATGAGTTCTCAACAGAAAGTAGTCTAACACTTTTGCAAAGGATATAGATAAACACCAAGACAGTTCTAGTGAAACTGCTGAACATCAAAAACAAAACAAGTCTGGAATGCTATCAAGGAGAAAAGGCAGATTATCTACAAAGGAATGGAAATTAGATTGGCAATACAATTTTTAACCAAAAACAATAAGGAGCAAAAGGCAATGGAGTGCTATCATTAATGTGCTATGGGGGCTTGGCGCCTGTAGCTCAAGGGGCTAAGTCACCAGCCACAAAACACCAGAACTGGCAAGTCTGAATCCAGCCTCAGCCTGCCAAACAACAGTGACAATTACAACCAAAAAATAGCCGGGCATTGTGGTGGGTGCCTGTAGTCCCAACTACTGGGGAGGCCGAGGCAAGAGAATCACTTAAGCCCAAGAGTTGGAGGTTGCTGTGAGCTGTGATGTCACAGTGCTATAGGTGACAGCTTGAGGCTCTGTCTCAAAAACAAAAAAAAGTGCTATGGGAAAATAGCTGTTCATTAGAATTTTATAACCCAATAAATTATCATACAATGGCAAGAGGAAAATAAAGACATTTTGAAATATACAGAGAATTACCTTTCCCACCAAGACCCCCACAGTAAGAACTATTAAAGGATATTAAAGGATGAGCTTCAGCCAAAAGAAAAGTGAACCCAAATGAATGCTCTGGGCCCCAGGTAAAAAAAAAATGTGCAGAAGAAGTGATAAAGATGTAAGTAAATTTAATTAACTTTTAACTATAAAGACTATTTTTAAATGTAAAAAGTAAATAAGACTCTAGGCAGCAATGCCAAAATGGGAAAAAGGAGAACAATTAAATAGGTAAAGTAAGCAAGGTTCTTTTGTGGGAAGAAATAGTTACATAATAACTTTGTTAGAAAAATTTATTATAGTTAAGTATGCATTTTGAAAAATAAAAGAATTCCAAAAAGAACAGAAATAAAGCCAAAAGCTCTCAAATGAGCAGTGGCATATAGATCACCTTACTAATCCAGTGGAAGACAGCAATGAAGGAAAAAGGAGGAGAAAGGATGGTAAATGGAAAACGCAAGATACGATGGGAAAATAAGGCCACATATATTAGTATCACAATAAATCCCCATGGGTTAAATTCACCTATCAGAGACACAACTAAAATAAAGTGCATAGAAAGATTACATGTGAAGATATGGAAAACATGTGACACATAAATAGTAGCTAAAGAAGAGTGATGAAAATTTCCAGCATGATGAATGCTGGAGAGGCACTATAAAATAAGAATTAACCATGATTTCCAATGTACAACATACTTTCAAAAACACTGCCTACTATGTGCCACAGATCACGTCTGCCTTCTGCACTGCTGTATCTTCAGTCTCAGCACATGATAGGAGTGCCATAAATATTAAGGAGTGGAATGATCATCGTAGTATACAGAAATGATCTATTTATATGTTTATCATACCACAAGGACAAGGGCCGTGTCTTACTAATTTTTATGCCACTGATATTCAGGGTGGTGCTTAGCTCATGTGGGCACTCCATACAGTCACACTGACTTCAAGGGTCATCCCTTCTACAAAATCTCCCCTGTTCTGCCAATATCCTTTGTTTCTGCTTATATAGCACCCATAGTCTGAAAAACCCAATTTAGTACTTGATGATACAGCAAAGTCTTGTAGTTTTTATCTCAATGTTTCAAACCTTGTTTTTCCCAAAATATTTTAGATTCTTTGAAGATACAGAAGATGCCTTTCTTATAGAGTGCCAAGTTCCTATCCAGACACTTGAATAAATAGCTCTTCTGGTTGATGTCACCAGATGAATGCAGGTTGGTTGGATCAATAGTGCCAGCTGTCCAGGCCAAGACCTTCAAGGGGTTATATCCACTCCCTTCTTTAGCCCTTGACTAAAGACATCACTGTAGACAGGCTCATGTGCAAAAACTGTGGGCAGAAAGCAGCTAGCCATTCCACCCCTCTGTGCTTTATTCCTTCTGGCAAAATGGGGGGGGGAATGCCCGTGGTCCCACAAAAATGTGGGTGTGGGAAGTGACAGAAAGATAGGGAGGAAAGACATTATGTTCCTTACTCTACTGGATAGAACCTGGACCTGACCTTTCACCACAGGCACGAGTATCAGGAGTTTATTGTGAGACCAAAAGGAAGCTCCAAGGCAAATAGAGAAATTCATTCTCCTGAAACCTTTTATAGAATACAAGGGATGTCATTGTTCATCTACACACCAGGCATACTAAGGGGGTCTATAACAAGGAACTCCTAACGGAGAAGCTGCAGAGGGTTAATTAACAAAAAGCCCTAGTGGCATCTTGCTGGTCTTGAAAAAGACATAGTCTGGGGAGGTTCAGTCAGGGCCCTGTGGTAGCGAGATGGACTGGCTGACCTCCCAAGGTCCTTTCTAATTCTATAATTACAGGGTGAATCTTGCTCTTTCCCATTTATGCTCCCATGCCTGTACCCACTTTGATAGTAAGTCTCCTGGGCTGCCTTCCAGGTTTAGTACGCTGCCACGCAAGTGGCTGGCACTCAACAAATGACTCAAATATTTGTTGAATGAAGGCATAAATGTATCAAGTGTTTAAATAGAGCCCACATAACCTCCCAGCTGTAAAGTACGACAGTTGAATGAAATCGCAACATTCTAGGCACGATCACTTGAGCAAAGCTGGCAACACACACACACACACACACACACTCTCTCTCTCTCACATTCCCACCTTGGGAAAAGCACAGGCCACCTGCTTAGCAAGTAGGTTGTGAGGGAGTTTCCTTAGCAAGCACCCTCTCTCTTGCTCTGCTTGCTTAGGAGTGGAGCCTCCAGAAGGTCAAGTCACCCAGATTTAGGACCGCTTCCTTCCCAGTGGGCCTCTGAGACAAAGTTTCTGTTTGGATTTGGCTGAACCTCCTGGGAGGTGCATCCGCACTCCCTCAGCGACTCCGGGCTCCCCGGCCCGCTGCGCCCCACCTTACCTTGGTGAGCTGAGCGATCTTCTTGCACATTTTCACGTGCATCTCAGGATCACAGTCCATTCTCCAGCTGCCGCCACCACGGGTGTCGGCTTTGGAGCGAGGGCAAGTCCCAGGCGGGTGGATTTTGCTGTTGAGAGCAGAAGCCATCGCTAAAATGCGCCCCGCACTCACGCTGGTGGTCTCCCTGCTCTCCGTATGCACGTGCGTGCGCGCGCGGGCGTGTGGGCTTTCTCAGAGAGGTAGCACTGCAGTCCCGCCGCCTGCACCGCCGCGTGGCCCCTTCTTTCCAAGATCTCCGCCTCACAGGCCCAATACGCGCGCCCACCCTCCCTCTCTCACGCGGGCTCACCGGCTCGCTGGCTCCACGAGCACCCGCACCCTGCAGCGAGGCATGGGAGCCCCGCACTTGCCGGTCCCTGTCAGCGTGCAGCTCCCTAGCCAGTGTGCATTTCGCTAGCAAGGGGAGAGCTTCCGAGGCTAGGAGTCGCTGGCTTTGGGGGATTTGGGCTAGGCGGGTGCGGCGCTCATGGACGAGTGGATGACGCAGGGGTCTGGACACGGTGGCGACGGACCCTGCCCGAGCTGGGCATCCCAGGCCGAGGAGGAAGAGTCTCCCACCAGAGACAGGGCACCATGACCGGCGGCTCCGTAGTCTCGAGTTGAGGGAGGAGGTGGGGTGCGGGATGCTAAGGGAGGGCCGCGGAGGGCAGGGCGAGCCACCCCGACGCGAGGAGGTGCAGGGACCAGGGTGCATAGTGCTGGGCAGAGCAGGCACTGCAGGAGCGCACAGCCGGGCTGGGGCTGGAAGCCCCCCTTCCCGGATCTCGGGGAGGAGCGCGGGCGTTGTGGGAGGATTGCTGGAGATCCCGAACAAAGCGTTCGAGAAGCCACTGGGATGGCAAGGGAACTGCTGACCGAAATCAAGAGATGAGACAGTGCGGTACATAAAGTACGGGAAGCGCAGAGAAAAAGTCATCAGAGAGGTAGAAAGCATGTTGGCAGGTGCAGGAAAGGAGGAAGCGACGCGGAATGCGGGAGCAGTTGACGGATGGAGCTTAAAATCTAAGAAAACCGAGCCAGTGAAAGTGAAATAACTTGTCCAAATCCACACTACTGGAGTCAGAATCCCGTCAAGTTCTCAGATTTGAAGCTGGTGGCTGTTTAGTTTGGTGACGGAGACCAGCATCTTTCTGTCTGGCTTTCTCTGGTTTCAAACAGTGGGCTTTACAGAAAAGTGACAGCCCCTAGATCGGATTTTCCTCAAGCCGAAAATAGCGTCACGATTCTACCTGGAGTTTTAATAACCATCAGCAAGCAAGCTTCAGAGGGTCTCAGAAACCACAGTCCCACCCCTCTATACTGCAGGTGTCAACACGCATTTTCATAGATGAGGGAAATTGATCCAGAACACTGTCAAATCAGGTATTTACAAATAGTTTCTGAAAGGAAATAGTCTTATTCTAGATTCTTTATCCCTCCTTATCATCTTAGGTTCCTTCTCCAGGACAAACCTTGCTACCCTCAAAAGATGGAGAAGGAATATTCATTTCTCAAATACTTTGGTCATGAAGTGACACACCAATTCTGTTGTCATTCCATTGGCCAAAACTGATTACAGGCTTTAATCTAAATGTAAGGGGGTCTGGGAAATGTAATTCCTGGCTTCCTGGCTTGTTAGCAATTTCTCTCTCTCTCTTTTTTTTTCTTTTGAGACAGGCTCTTGATCTGTCTCTAGTGCTAGAGTATCCCACTGTCATCAAAGCTCACAGCAACTCCAACTCTGGGTATCAAGTGATTCTCCTACCTCAGCCTCTGAAATAGCTGAGACTACAGGTATAAGTCCCCTCACTCTATTTTGTAGAGACACAGGCTTGCTGTGTTGTTCACTCCTGGCCCTAAATGATCCTTCAAACTTATTCTCCAAAGTGCCACAATTACAGGTGCGAACCACTATGCTTTATCTGGATAGCAATTTTTCAGAATGACTTTACACAATGAAAAGGGAGCATACATTTTTGATAGGCATATACTTATCTACTGCAAGTAATTCAGACTTATTATTGATATTTGAATATTTGATTTTAAACAAAGGTAAACATTCTGGATATAAACTGAGGTGAAAAAAAGTCTCACTAAGATGTAAGCTTTATAAAGGCAGGAATTTTTGTCTGGTTCATTTACAGCCAAAATTCCAGCACTGAGTACTTGGCAACAAATATTTGTTAACTAACTTAATGAATGTGCTATCAACCAGCCAAAACACTAATGTGTATGTACTGTAAAAGTGAAGTGGTACAAATAATTAATGATTAATGTCAATTTTATGTACAGAAACACATTGAGAATTTTCTGGTAGTCGAGTAACAAGAGAATAGATCAATAAGAATTTTACCTAGATAACATCTAAAGGATTACCTCAAATGTATAAAAACATTCAAATAATAATATAAGGCAAAATAATATTCAGTTACTTATTTTAAGTTATGAATTGGATTTTTTTTTTTTTTTGAGACAGAGCCTCAAGCTGTCCCCCTGGGTAGAGTGTTATGGCTTCACTGCTCACAGCAACCTCCAACTTCTGGGCTCAAGCTAGTCTCCTGTCTCAGCCTCCAAAGTAGCTGGGACCACAGGAGCCCACCACAACGCCTAGCTATTTTTTGGTTGCAGCCATTATTGTTGTTTGGCGGGCCCAGGCTGGATTCGAACCTGCCACCTTAGGTGTTATGTGGCTGGTGCCTTAGCCGCTTGAGCCACAGGCGCCAAGCCTGGATTGGATTTTCTTAACGTTCAAAATTTTAGACCTATATTCAATTTTAAGTTGTTGTATGCCTTTAAATACTTAATTTCTAGGAAAAAGTCCAATTTGAGAATTCTTCAGTCTTTTGGGGATAAATTAAAAACAGTATGTCAAACTTTGCTACTCCAAGTATCATGAAAAGAACAAATTCCAAAAACATATAAACCACATATACACGTATGATAAGTCACCTTTAATCTGGATAAAATAAAGAATATGGGTAAGAGAAGAACGTACTAGAGAAAAATGTGATACTTAAAATATTCTGTTCTTAAAATATTCTTCTGTTCTTATTCTATTCTTCTGTTCTTAAAATAATCTGTGATACTTAAAATATTCTGTTCTTAAAATATTCTTGAAAATGTAACTCAAATGTGAAAGTTAAAACAATAAAAAGTAAAATGGGAGAATATCTTCATAATATTTAACAAAGGTTTGTTAAAACACTAACCATAATAGAAAAAAATCCTGATAAACTAGATTTCATAAAAATTAAAAATGTACCATTAAGAAAGTAAAAGGCCAGGTATAGAATGGCATAAGATATTCATAATAAACATCTCTAAAAAACTTGTGTATAGTGTATGGGTCCTACAAATCAATAAAGAAAAGATAATCTAATTTATAAGTAGACAAAAGTCTTAAATAAGTAATTTCAAAAGAGGTATGTGAATGGTCAATAAGCATATAAAAATGTGCTCAACCTTGCTAATCACAGAAAGAAATGTAAATTAAAAAGCCACATGGAGGCTTGGCGCCTGTGGCTCAAGCAGCTAAGATGCCAGCCACATATACCTAAGGTGGCGGGTTGGAATCCAGCCCGGGCCCGCCAAACAACAATAATGGCTGCAACCAAAAAATAGCCGGGTGTTGTGGCGGGCGCCTGTGGTCCCAGCTACTTGGGAGGCTGAGGCAGGAGACTCGCTTGAGCCCAGGAGTTGGAGGTTGCCGTGAGCAGTGAAGCCATGGCACTCTACCCAGGGGACAGCTTGAGGCTCTGTTTCAAAAAAAAAAAAAAAAAAGCTACATGGAGATACACCATTAGACAACTACCAGAATAGGTAAAACTACAAGGACTGACGATAACAAGTGTTTGTAAAGCTGTGGAGTAACTGTGTAGGAATATAAAATGAAACAATCACTTTGGGAAGTAGTTGCAGTTTTACTAAAACTAAACATATACCAACCTTATGGCATAGCAATTTGACTCCTAGGTATTTACAAAAAACACAGAATGTGTATTGCAGTTTTATTTATAAACCCCCAAGTTGGAAAGAAGTCAGATATCAAGAGGTGAAAGAATAAATGAATGATGGTATACTCATATGATGGAATAGTTTACAGCAATAAAAAAAAAAAGTACTTTGATGAAAGAATCAAGCATAAAACAATACATACTATACCATCCCATTCACATGAAGTTTGGGAACATGCAGAACTTAACTGATCTTTATAGAACAGTAGTTATTTCTGGAGGAGGTATAAACTGTGATGAAAGGACTAGGCAATCAGAAATTTTTAGTACTTTGATCTGAATGTATACATCTTGATATGAATGTATACATATGTAAAAGATGATCAAGAAGCACATTTACAAGGCCAGTTGCCCTGTTTCATACTTGTAATCCTAGCACTCTGGGAGGCTGAGGCAGGTAGACTGCCTGAGCTTGGGAGTTCCAGAGCAGTCTGAGCAAGAGTGAGATACCATCTCTACTAAAAAATAGAAAAACCATCTGGGCATAGTGGCATAGTCCCGGCTACTCCAGAGGCTGAGGCAAGAGGATTGCTCAAGCTCAAGAGTTTAAGGTTGCTGTGAACTATGAGGCCATAGCAATTTATCTAGGGTGACAGAATGAGGCTGTCTCAAAAAAAAAGTACACTGACAATTATTGCATGTTATGTATTTTACTGTGTATATGTTATTACTTAGAAAAAAAGAGGTGGACAAATTGGCCTGACATGACTTACCTAAAACATACGACAGAAAGGAAACATAATGGCCCACAGATCACTTGTAATTAAATCAGAATTTATCTGAGATTATATTATATATACAAGTAGAGCATAGGAAAAACTCTCAACCATAACCTATAGGAAAGAAATCTAAAATACTATGTAAGAATATATTATGGATCAACCACTGGATGTAACCAAATCTTGACAGCAAAAACAGTATGGAAGATAAAAAGTAATATGAAATTTCAAACTGTTATATTAAAAAAATAGATGCAAGTTGAGTATCCCATACTTTTTTTTTTTTTTTTTTTGAGACAGAGTCTCACTATGTTGCCCTCAATAGAGTGCAATGGCATCATAGCTCACAGCAACCTCAAACTCTTGGGCTTAATGA